CTCTCTCACACAGGTGTTGGTTCCTTCCTCCTACCTGGTGTTTTTTCCTCATTGATAAAATCATACAACATTATTGAAATATACTTTCCAAGATAAGGATCATTATGCATTTTAGATCTCCAAGTAGCAAGGTCACAGAGGCCATACTAAAAGGTCATAGAGGTCATTTAGAAAAGTCAAATTGGCAAGGTCACAGAGCTGATATAGAAGAGCCCCGTTGCAAGGCACAGAGGTCATATATAAAGGTAAAAGTGGAAAGGTCATAGTGGTGATAAAGAAAGGTTCAAGTAGAAAGGTCACAGAGGTCATTCAGAGAGTTCTCTGTAATAAGGTCACAGACTTTATGCAGAAAGGTCCAAAGGGCAAGCTCAGTTAGATCTAGAACAGTTTTTCATACTTGATGTCAAGATTTACAAGACATATGGATGATCATAGAGAGATAGAACTGAGGTTTCGCATGAGGTTCAGTCGTCTGTTATCAATGTCATATGTGCACACAACAAAAAAGTCCACACACAGAGTGAGCAACCATCCTCACCATTGTGTCGGGCAGATCTAAATCTTGTCATTCATCAAACCACTTAAAAAAAATCTTGTTGATTGTCCGACACAGAGAACAGGAAATACACTGTGGTATAGGGGAAGTAAAATGTGTAACACTGAAGGCTATTACTCAAGACTGTACACTATAGTGATGGTGGATATTATACCCGATGTTACCATGAGGTCTCATAATGGGTGAGTTTTTACCTGGTGGACACATGATCTGTCACCAATGAGCGGCCACGCTTTCATATTATTTCTGACAGTGAATATGACATACATACTTAGTACTTGGATTTCCAAGTAATTATTTATACAATTATGCTTGGTCACATTCAGTGTATAAATAACTATGACGTTTGCTGGAAATGATGTACATTTGGATCGCTGTGTTGATGGTAAATATTGATATACTCGTCCTGATAGGTGACTGTACCACTTTAAAATAATTAGTGCAGGTTTAAGTTAATGCACAACAATTAAACCTGCTAGAGTGCAAGTCTACAGACTTTCTATTAATACTGATTAGACAGGTATAGCTCTGTAAACACTGACGAGACAGGTAGAGCTCTGTAAACACTGACGAGACAGATAGAGCTCTGTATACACTGACAAGACAGGTAGAGCTCTGTAAATACTGACAAGACAGATAGAGCTCTGTAAACACTGACAAGACAGATAGAGCTCTGTAAACACTGACAAGACAGGTATAGCTCTGTAAACACTGACAAGACAGGTATAGCTCTGTAAACACTGACAAGACAGATAGAGCTCTGTATACACTGACAAGACAGATAAAGCTCTGTAAACACTGATGAAACAGATAGAGCTCTGTAAACACTGACAAGACAGATAGAGCTCTGTAAAAACTGACAAGACAGATAGAGCTCTGTAAACACTGATGAGACAGATAGAACTCTGTAAACACTGACAAGACAGATAGAGCTCTGTAAACACTGACAAGACAGGTAGAGCTCTGTAAACACTGACGAGACAGGTAGAGCTCTGTAAACACTGACTAGACAGATAGAGCTCTGTAAACACTGACGAGACAGGTAGAGCTCTGTAAACACTGACTAGACAGGTAGAGTAATTAGTAAAGGTAACGTGGTTATATACACCAGTATACATGTATATACACTAACGTATACAATTCTATATATGCTTACAAATGTTTTGTTGCCATGTACTGAAGGTATAAGTACAAATCCGTAATTTATCAATTATCATTGTTTTTCTGAGACCACGTGACCTGATGCAACAGATAGATCAAATGTGGTATAAAATGTTCAGCCAAATCTGGTCACCATTTTGAAATTGTTCCATTTTTCTGTAGAGCAGGTTTTTAGCCTTGGATTCCTATATTGCTAAGAAAACTTGTTTTGAAGTAGTTCTGTTCTTTGATACAACTTGTTTCTCAAAGAACGCTGCATAATAATATTACTAGAATATAGTGTAAACATACTACAATGATAACCTATGCAGACTAACACCAGCAGTCTCTAATATCATACTGCACTTACACTAAGAACCTTAACTCATACACCCCTAGAAATTTAAAATGGACTTGTTCAATCTTTGATTTGGTAAGATTGAAATGTGACTTTAGGGGTAAATGGGTTAACAAAGTTATTCATATTTCTAACGATGTCTAGTCAATTAAATATTCACCAATTAAATATTTTCAAAAAAACTTAAAATTATTGTGTGCATTAACTTACATTATCATAATTTTATTTGTGTACAGGTGTTGTGTAGCTTTACTAGGTTGTGTTGTACATGTATATAAAACTCATTTGTATATATTTTGTTGTTTATTTCTATGACATAAGGTAAAACCTTGTATATTTTATCATGTTTTGTTTTGCCTTACCAAGGCATTTATATGCTACACATCACTGGTAATATTTTGTATACAATAGTTTCTGTAACTCGCTTTTCACTCAGTATTTTGAAGACTTCACATTTCTCTCAATTTATTTATTTGTCTGTCTTACAGGTATACATAACTGTTTGACCAGTCAGCAATTCATTCCTCATTTTCATCATATGCATACACTCAAAAATTCAGTCAGATAAGATGGTCGGTTATCACGAGCCCGACTAAATAGGCAACACTTATTAACCCTAACCTGTGTGTCGTTGGAAATCATTTCTCAGTAAAAACCCATAACAAAATAAATAGGGGGGGGGGGCATGTATAAGGTAAACAAACATATTTCACAATAGAAAAAGGGTCTGCTAATTGTAAAAGGGAAACAACTCAAAACTTTACACAATAGATTGGAGGTCTGGCATATAAAGGATAGACAACCAAAGACCCATTACACAATATACATTTTCCAAACCTAGATCTACCATGTAAGGGGAGAAAACTCAAGGACATGAATTACACAATGGATTTTGGGTCTCAGATGTTAAGTGATGATAACTCAAGACCAACTACAACAATAAATAAGGGGTCTCCCATGTAAAGGGGAGACAACCTAAGACCTATTAAACAATGCATCATTTGAGGTTCATCTTAAAGGGAGACACCTACCCTGACCAGGCTTTCTTATTGCATCAGATGTGTGTTTCCAACCTATATGCATAGAATTGACAAAATAATTTTATAAAGTAAACTATGACAACACAGAAAGACATAAATGGTTCCAACTTGATAAATGAAATGGGAATGTTACAAAAAGCTACACTTACGCCATGATATTTAACTCTTTCAATATGCCATGATGTTTAACTCTTTAATTACACCATGATGTTTAACTCTTTCATTACACCATGATGTTTAACTTTTTCATTACACCATGATGTTTAACTCTTTCATTACGCCATGATATTTAACTCTTTAATTACACCATGATGTTTAACTCTTAAGAATTTGTGATACACATCAAAGTTTTTGGATATAAGTTCAGTAAGTTCCACCCACAGTTGTAAGCAGGTAAATATTTTATAACTGGTCTGCTTTATGCTATCATTTGTTGCCATATATTATAAGTTTAGGCTGACTGTAATCCTGTGAAAACCTATTCCTAACACATTTCACAATCATACTGTCATATACTATATACCCGGAAATGTTGGCCCTCCACTGGTAGAATCTGTTTTCATGCAGTGTTAAATTCGTTCTTCACATGGTATTATTATAAAGAGTATATGTTGTACTCAATTTCATTTTCGTGATAAATTTCCCCTCATTACTGAGGCTAAAAAGGGAAATATCAAACTGCAGCAAAAAAAATCCTGATATACTGCAATTATTGTTATTATCAGGTAAATGTTAAAAACATTTTAATACCAAAATAATGAGTCAAATACCATTTTCTACTGTTTTATTTTTAATTAATTTATTCAGAAATACATGGTTAAAATGACAAAGCTTCAAAGCAGGAACAAGATTTTTGTGTCAATTAGTGCATGCAGTGTACCTTTCCTTACAGATATGATGTCTACGTAATTAATGTACTAATGTAAATTGAGATATTTTGAATGTGGATATACAATATTGTTTTCTGGCCATCGAGTCATTGTTCCAAACTTTAACAGCATCCCCCTGTCAGCCATTATTTGATGTCTGACTATTTAATTACCTTTCATGCAACACGAGATACTGTAGGATGTTGATTATGTATAGAAATACTATACCTGAAAAAAGATATCATTAGTTGCTCAAACCTTGATGTTCTTAATATAAGTGGACTTGTTTTGTTGTGGTCACTTACATTTCAACTGTTTGTCGCCCGGATGGTGAGTTTGCTTCAGATTCTAAATTAATGTTTGATGTTGTGAAATCCAAACAAAAAATCTCAGCAAAGAATCAAACTTGTATGGACACAATAGTATCCAGATTTGCTGTACATACTCATATGGCCTATAACACTAGAAACCAGTTCAATAATACCTAGTATGCCAATGTAACTTATTGTGCCTAGCTATCTAATGCAGAAAGAATTATTCTTATATTATGTATATATTATCAATTAAGTGATATAATGAAAGTTAACCACATTAGCTTGAGTGTATTTAGGGATCCCTGTCCCAGTACCTGGGCGCTGAGGGCTCTACTGTTATATCCAATATTAGATTAAGGGGAGTTACTAAATACACACAATTCTACAGTGTAACTCTCTAGTGTTTTGCCTGCAGTCGGATAGGGATCTCTAAAATCAACTTTTTGTCAATGGTTGGTATAGAAAAACTGTAACCAATGTAAAACAGCAGCTCTAGGAGAATGGCTCCTTTGTGTTAATTCATCATTATATAAAGATTCTTAATCAAGAAATAGTAAAAAGGTGGTCAATTTTAATATGATGCGAAGTGAAATAACTAAATACCATTGTCTTGTTATCATATTTCCACTGCTAAAATATAAATTGTGTGAATCTGTAATGTACATTTAAATGTCCAGAATTGTATCTGTGTTCAGGACTGACCTTGACCTTGTTGTGTTGTAGGAACTACACCAAGTCAGAGCATGCAGGGATACCCCACAGTATCTTCTGAAGGGACTTTGTACAATGATGTCTATTATCCAGGGGGTAAGTTTTGGATTATCTCCCCTTGAATACTTTTCAAAGACAACTAAAATGATTTTCTTTTCTGATGAAAATGTCTCTTAACCAGGGAGTATGTTAGGGGTTTTCTTTCCTTGGCATGTCTACAGAGTGTTCCTTGGTGAAATCTAAAGTTATCTCCCCTTAACTGGTCCCCAGAGTTTACCTCATTCATCCTTGAAGACGATTTTGAGCTGTTCCAATTCAAAGGTTGAAATAGTTCATTATAAAATGTCAGGAGTAAATGAGTTACTGATGTCTAGCTCAATGTTTGTCTCGTGTTATCTCCCCCTTTGCAGGTCCCAAGAATATACCGAAGTAACATGTGTAAATCAGGTGGTATATCCCTCATGTTACAGGAGACAAATCCAGAGTCACTTTCGCTCTCTGCAACCCTGGAATGTGTCATGACAAAATTGTAGGCTCAGTGTGTGCCATTTTTGTGTCACAAGTTGTAAAACCAACTGGACAGTATAGTAGTAACCCATATTTTGTGTTTGCACAAGGCTACCCATACTTTGTATTCACACAAGGCCACCCATACTTTGTATTTACACAAGGCTACCTATACTTTGTATTTACACTAGGCTACATATTCTTTGTATTTACACAAGGCCACCTATACTTTGTATTTACACAAGGCTACCCATACTTTGTATTTATACAAGGCTACCTATACTTTGTATTTACACAATGCTACCTATACTTTGTATTTACACAAGGCTACACATACTTTGTATTTACACAAGGCTACCCATACTTTGTATTTACACAGGGCTACCTATACTTTGTATTTACACAAGGCTTCCTATACTTTGTATTTACACAAGGCTACCTATAATTTGTATTTACACAAGGCTACCTATACTTTGTATTAACACTAGGCTACATATGCTTTGTATTTACACAAGGTTACATATACTTTGAATTTACACCAGGCTACCTATACATTGTATTTACACAAGGCTACCCATACTTTGTTTTTACACAAGGCTACCCATACTTTGTATTTATACAAGGCTACCTATACTTTGTATTTACACAAGGCTACACATACTTTGTATTTACACAAGGCTACCCATAATTTGTATTTACACAAGGCTACCCATACTTTGTTTTTACACAAGGCTACCCATACTTTGTATTTACACCAGGCTACCTATACATTGTATTTACACAAGGCTACCCATACTTTGTTTTTACACAAGGCTACCCATACTTTGTATTTACACTAGGCTACCCATACTTTGTATTTACACAAGGCTGCCTATACTTTGTATTTACACAAGGCTACCCATACTTTGTTTTTACACAAGGCTACCCATACTTTGTATTTATACAAGGCTACCTATACTTTGTATTTACACAATGCTACCTATACTTTGTATTTACACAAGGCTACATATTCTTTGTATTTACACAAGGCTACCTATACTTTGGATTTACACAAGGCTACCTATACTTTGTATTTACACAATGCTACCTATACTTTGTATTTACACAAGGCTACATATTCTTTGTATTTACACAAGGCCACCTATACTTTGTATTTACACAAGGCTACCTATACTTTGTATTTACACCAGGCTACCTATACTTTGTATTAACACTAGGCTACATATACTTTGTATTTACACAAGGTTACATATACTTTGTATTTACACCAGGCTACCTATACATTGTATTTACACAAGGCTACCCATACTTTGTATTCACACTAGGCTACATATACTTTGTATTTACACAAGGTTACATATACTTTGTATTTACACAAGGCTACCCATACTTTGTATTTACACCAGGCTACCCATACTTTGTATTTACACAAGGCTACCTATACTTTGTATTTACACAAGGCTACCCATACTTTGTAGAGACGAAAACCAGATAATGACCCATACTACCATTATCAATACTTGGTGTTCATTGATATGAATGTATAAATGTGTTACTGTGCACAGATAATGATGACTATGGAAATTCCCTGGACGGCGGGTCAACGGACAGCGAATTTGACACAATATCGGACCAGGAAGAGGCAGAACTAGCAGAAATTGATACTTATAGCAACAAGCCTCTCCCTAAACCACCTCCCAAATCTGTAAGTCTGTGTCAGTAACTAAAAGACAAGAAATAAATCAAAGCAAATTTGGAACTGTACCAAACCTTTACTTGCTTGTGGAATATTATTTGTGGGATTATAACTGTGATGTAATTCTTCGCCTGGGATGAGTCAGGTCTTCAACTTTTACTTTTCACTGTAGTGTACTTCTTCCTCCATGTGTGTGTCCATCTCTCTGTAATGTTAAACACACCTATTGCTTTACTGATTCACCATTTATTAGTATTATTTATTGCAACAACTAAATAAAATGTATTTGAACTACTTAAGCTTAACTCATTCACCCCTGAAGACACATTTGAATTCTTCCAATTCAAAGGTTGAAATAGTCCATTATGAAATTTCAGGAGTGAATGAGTTAATTTATAAATCCTTGTCAGTCTACTTCTCTTACTCCTTGAAACTATCAAGAATTTCTCTGTAACAAATTAATGCATTTTTGTTTAATTCACTTATCAGAAAGCCGGAATCTTAGAGCGAATGATGCCCAAAAGCATGATAAAGAAAACAGACAAGCCTTCATTAGAGGAGGAAAGCCCCTGTTTACCGGTCAAGCTGGACACCAAAAGACATCCCCCTCCAGAAATGCCCGCTCCTCCTGCGGACCTCACTCAGACACAGGTAAAGCTACTGAAATTATTCTATAAAGTCGTTAACAAACGTTTAACTCATCACCATTATGTTACAAATATCACATAGGCCTGAAAACAATCACCATTATGTTACAAATATCACATAGGCCTGAAAGCAATCACCATTATGTTACAAATATCACATAGGCCTGAAATCAATCACCATTATGTTACAAATATAACAGGCCTGAAAGCAATCACCATTATGTTACAAATATCACACAGGCCTGAAAGCAATCACCATTATGTTACAAATATCACATAGGCCTGAAAGCGATGTAGTCTTAGGTCATGGTTTTACATTCACTTTATTTGTTTAAATATAACTTGACCTCTACAAGTATGTAAGAGTACCCAGTCCACTATACCTACTGGAGAAATATGATTGTTACAATATTCTAATATGATCACTTCAGTGTGTGATAATAATAATACTTTACCCCTACTATTACAGCACAAGAAGAGAAAGGTGATCGAGGGTATCATAGGCAGTGAGAAATCCTATATAGATTCTCTGGACAGGGTGGTCAATGTAAGTAACAGAGTTCTGGACAGAGTGGTCAATGTAAGTCACAGATTCTCTGGACAGAGTGGTCAATGTAAGTAAACAGATTCTCTGGACAGTGGTCATTGTAAGTAACAGATTCTCTGGACAGAGTGGTCAATGTGACTTAACAGAATTCTGGACAGAGTGGTCATTGTAAGTAACAGATTCTCTGGACAGAGTGGTCAATGTGACTAACAGATTATCTGGACAGAGTGGTCATTGTAAGTAACAGATTCTCTGGACAGAGTGGTCAATGTAAGTCACAGATTCTCTGGACAGAGTGGTCAATGTAAGTAACATATTATCTGGACAGAGTGGTCAATGTGACTAACAGATTATTTGGACAGAGTGGTCAATGTAAGTAACAGATTATCTGGACAGTGGTCAATAAGACTAACAGATTCTCTGGACAGTGGTCAATGTGACTAACAGATTCTCTGGACAGAGTGGTCATTGTAAGTAACAGATTATCTGGACAGAGTGGTCAATGTAAGTCACAGATTCTCTGGACAGAGTGGTCATTGTAAGTAACAGATTATCTGGACAGTGGTCAATAAGACTAACAGATTCTATGGACAGTGGTCAATGTGACTAACAGATTCTCTGTACAGAGTGGTCATTGTAAGTAACAGATTATCTGGACAGTGGTCAATAAGACTAACAGATTCTATGGACAGTGGTCAATGTGACTAACAGATTCTCTGGACAGAGTGGTCATTGTAAGTAACAGATTCTCTGGACAGAGTGGTTAATGTGACTAACAGATTCTCTGGACAGTGGTCAATGTGACTAACAGATTCTCTGGACAGTGGTCAATGTGACAAACAGATTCTCTGGAGAGAGTGGGCAGTGTAAGTAACAGATTCTCTGGACAGAGTGGTCACTGTGACTAACAGATTATCTGGACAGAGTGGTCATTGTAAGTAACAGATTCTCTGGAAAGAGTGGTCAATGTAAGTAACATATTATCTGGACAGAGTGGTCAATGTGACTAACAGATTATCTGGACAGAGTGGTCATTGTAAGTAACAGATTATCTGGACAGAGTGTCAATGTAAGTCACAGATTCTCTGGACAAAGTGGTAAATGTAAGTAACATATTATCTGGACAGAGTGGTCAATGTGACTAACAGATTATCTGGACAGAGTGGTCATTGTAAGTAACAGATTCTCTGGAAAGAGTGGTCAATGTAAGTAACATATTATCTGGACAGAGTGGTCAATGTGACTAACAGATTATTTGGACAGAGTGGTCAATGTAAGTAACATATTATCTGGACAGAGTGGTCATTGTAAGTAAATAGATTCTCTGGACAGAGAATGTAACGTTTCATGGTCAATGTATGTTTCAGGAGTTCTATAAATTAATTATTTGTCTATTGTTTTAGTTTACATGAAGAATGACTTTTTAATCTCAGTAATTTATAACCAGAAAATTAACAGCCTATATGTTGGGTACCTCTTTGACTCTCTGTCTGTGTTTTAGGTGTATAAAACCCCTCTGTTGGCTGTTTATAATTTGGACACTAAGGAGGGGAAATTAAAGGATGTATTCAACAAGACACAAGAGATCCTCAACTATCACCTTATGTTCCAACTGGAGCTAGCCGAGTGTGTCAAGAACTGGGACACCACAGAGAGGATTGGAGACATTTTCACTGCTTCTGTAGGTATTTGTTGTGACATATGATGAAGAGGGTGCTGTTTTAATATTGTTAGAAAATAACTATCAAATTTATATATATGGAATTGATATCAGTATCAAAGTTGAATCAACAAATAAAGCTCCTCTCAAATTCCTGTGAAATTTAATTTCTCATGATAAAAGTAGTTTTCAGTAAGTTATATATCTTCCTGGTTGATATGTACTGAAATATCAACAACTTCTATAGCTCTTAAATATCTCTTTAAAAGTTGTTTCTAGTAGTGTTTATACCTCTTTTGTTTTGTTAAGATATTGTGATAATTGATGGTAAATACTTGTTGTATTTTACAGTTTTCCCGGGCCATGGTGGTTGATGTTTACAGTGACTATGTTAACAAGTTCTCCATGGCAATGGAGGAGATCAAACGTGCTCAGAATGCACAGCCTGCTCTCCGCAAATTCTTACAGGTACGGTATTACACCATCACCGTAGTGATGTGATTCTTACTGATTTATCCAAACATCATTACCATAGCAACCTAATGGCTACAGATATAGCCCATCACTTTACCACATAGTTACATATTTAACTTAACAAGATCACCATAGCAACCTGATGGCTAGAGGTATAGCCCATCACATTACCACATATTTAACTTAACAAAATCACCATAGCAACCTGATGGCTACAGGTATAGCCCATCATATTACCACATAGTTACATATTTAACTTAACAAGATCACCATAGCAACCTGATGGCTAGAGGTATAGCTTATCAGATTACCACAAAGTTACATATTTAACTGAACAAAATCACCATAGTAACCTGATGGCTACAGGTATAGCCTATCACATTACAACATAGTAACATATCTAACTTAACAAAATCACCATAGTAACCTTATGGCTACAGATATAGCCTATCACGTTACCACATAGTTACATATTTAACTGAACAAGATTACCATAGCAACCTGATGGCTACAGGTATAGCCTATCACATTACCACATAGTTACATATTTAACTTAACAAGATCACCATAGCAACCTGATGGCTAGAGGTATAGCTTATCACATTACCACAAAGTTACATATTTAACTGAACAAAATCACCATAGTAACCTGATGGATACAGGTATAGCCTATCACATTACAACATAGTAACATATCTAACTTAACAAGATCACCATAGCAACCTCATGGCTACAGGTATAGCCCATCACATTACCACATAGTTACATATTTAACTTAACAAAATCACCATAGCAACCTGATGGCTACAGGTATAGCCCATCACTTTACCACATAGTTACATATTTAACTTAACAAAATCACCATAGTGACGTGTTGGCTACAGGTATAGCTCATCACATTACCACAAAGTTACATATTTAACTTAACAAAATCACCATAGCAACCTAATGGCCACAGATATAGCTCATCAAATTACCACATAGTTACATATTTAACTTAACAAAATCACCATAGTGACCTGATGGCGACAGGTATAGCCCATCACATTACCAAAAAGTTACATATTTCACTTAACAAAATCACCATAGCAACCTAATGGCAACAGATATAGCTCATCAAATTACCACATAGCTACATATTTAACTTAACAAAATCACAATAGTGACCTGATGGCTACAGGTATAGCCCATCACATTACCACAATGATCTTATAGATACAGATTTATCCAAACACGTAACCATAGCGACCTGATGGTTTTAGATATAGCCCATCACCACCGATGTAATAGTTAGAGCTTTTGCTAAACATTATTACCATAGCCCATCTGATTGTTGCAAGTATAGCCGATCACATAAGCACAGTGATTTACTAGTTACCATAGCAATCTAATGGTTTTACACAATACAATGAAAACATATTACCTGTAAACTAGAGACTGTAAACGAACATTTAATTTGGAATTATCAAGTTTTCTCTTACCTGGTATAAGTTCATTCCTATACAGATATACTGAATTCACCTTGATTAGTTTTGATGGTAAGTGGTTTTGTGATAGTAAATATTGAGTACATTATTCCAGAAATCATAAACCATCTTCTGTCTAGCAATAGAAAGGCCATCAGGCTGTCAGCCGAAGAGATTTCTGTCTCTTTTTTGACACCTACTGTTCTGAAAGTGCAGTATATTTTAATGTCTTCTCTTTTACTAACAGAAATTCCTTCAAGTTCATCTAACATTATAAGATTTAGATAGAAATAGGAACATCTGTTGTTAATTTAAGATTTAAGATTTTGATACTTGATAAATAAATGAACGTTATTTTCAAAAAAGTCGCTGCTATTCTGAAACACTTGATTTGAATATCAAAAAATTGTTACCATAGCCACAATTTGGAAATGAGGTAAGCCAATCAGATTTATCGCCTGGTGCGCGCAGTAAGAGGCCGGTTGACGTACAGGCTCTACGACGAGATCCGAACTTTCTAGTCGTCCAGGTATTATGATACAGAAGTGATTTGACGGTTTGCTTTAACAATGCTTGTTTGTACCCTTAGACTGGCTGTGATAACATCACCTTTAAACATCTGAATGGCTGCATGTAGCTAATTCTAATGGACGACTTGTATTTAAATACAAGCCGACAGTGTATACATATTATACCTGTGCCAGGTATTTCATCTTTCTTTCAAAAAAAGAATGATATAATGTCAAAAAACATTATTCTTGGAAATGACATTTGGAAGTTTTTCAGATAAGACTTGAAAAAAAGAAACACTCTATGTTACTTTAAACCTTTAACAATTTTGTTTGCCCTATGGCTACTTTAAAAGTGGAAAAATCTTCTTGTAACCATTTAAACTGATTGCAAATTTCAATGGGGAGTTATTTTCATTTGCAATAATTCTGCAATCTGTATTCTCTTTATCTATAATCTATTTTTTTCCGGTGAAAGGTTTCAAACTATCTTGTAGTTCAAGTACACTATTTTCTCTATCTTCAGTGTAGTGAAACTGACAGGCTGGGGTTTTAGATAAGCACAATTAAATGTGTATGTTGTTAGGATTTTCTGGTATTCTAATAACCATTATTACTTATATTAGGTTGAGCTTGTAAGATGTCAACTGTAATATTTTTTTACTATATTTTTTTGTTAACCTTAAATATGAATTACATTATGGCTTCTAGCAGTAGATAGCTATTATCCTCTGTCAATCTATCCTGTCCATGCGGCGTCTAAGTCTGATATACTGTTTATTTTCATTACATATGCTGTGTTTTGTGAAACAGCATTTACTTTTTATCACATAACTGGGAAAACTTACATTTTTACAGGTTTTTAAACCAAAATGCAGAAGTCTAATCAAACGGAGAAAGCCATTTTGTTGCGCAATTCACAATTTATGACGTCATTGTCCATATTATGACGTCACAATCGATTTCTGACTGGCACAGCCAATGAAATACGCTCCAGGGTATATTACACTTGTGACATATGTAAAAAATAATACACGGGCGAATTCACTGGATAACAGCCGGATTATGTGATGAAAGATATCTCTACTCCCCTTATCTATATGCAGGATATCTCAACGCAACACTTACTAGGGTGTAGGATATCTCTATCTTCCATACCTGTGTGTTTGGGATATCTCTATCTCCCATACCTGTGTGTGTAGTATATCTCTATCTCCTTTATCTAGGTATCTGTCTCCCTTACCTGTTGGACACAGTAGTGTATCTGTATCTACCTAACTTGTACATGTTAGATAAGATTTATGCTGTGTAAGACAGAATCATGTGAATCGAAGGTATGGGATCAGATGTCTTTTGGTGTTACTGTGAAATCACCGTGTCTTTGCATTCATTAGATAAACAAATTTTTGATGGTAGTGATATGGAAATTCTACACTACAGAATTTGGCTTCAGAATGTACCTCAGCAAGTCTCAATTTCTACATACTTACATAGAATCTACAGGCAGTATCAGTAGTTATGATGGGATTTTGTTCCCAGTCTTGTAAAACTCACAGTTAATACATTTGGCATGTTTCTTTACATACTAAAACAATAATGTAGTTTGTCCAGTAGCCTACCAACTGTAGAGTGTGAAGGCAGTGTGTGTGACCACCATGACCCTTGACCTTTGTCACCCTAATAACTGTCTATTAACATACAAAAACAATAATATGAACAATGAGACTCAATTTATCAAGATCAAGTTTATGTACCATGTATACACATATCTGTAATAGTTAAAACATAATATCTACGTAAAAGTAAAAAATCAACAATAGCAGAATTTTTAAAATTCCAAATTTTTTGAGAAAAATTAGGATAAAAGTCAGTATTGGAAAATAATTGGACTACTTCTAATACTGTATAGTAGTGTATGTTTTAACCTTAATTGGGAAAAAGCATCAATTGTTTTATGTATGTTATATATGAACTTGTATTAACTTTTTGGCCTGATCATAGCTTGATAAGAACTTAATAAGAGCTTCGCTCGGGCGCCAAAGGCGCCCGAGCGAAGCTCTTTAATGGTAACACATGCGTGTGTATGCAGAGTTGCTTTCCCTTTCTACACCTTGCCTTTAATTTTTTTCGTCCAGAAGTAGATGTCCAGTGGGGAAACCGGAAGTGTATCCTTGAAGCAAAGACAATCGTGTTTCAACCCATCCATTAACATCTTCATATAGTGAAAGCAATACCCATGTTTCATTACTTGCCATCCCTGATATTTTTCTTTTTTGAGCTAATATTTACAAGTTTAAGGATCTTAGCAGTTTAGTTGCCTAGGCATTCAATGACGAAAAAATGGCGAGGAAATCTCTAATGTAAAATGACTGAACAGGAGGAAATCACTTTTGAGAGGGTAAAAAGAAAATCATGATCTCGCTACTTGTTATGCGAACTTTTTTAAACGAAATTGCTACTTTTTTTACAGTCAAATGTGTAAGACACTGACAGCTTCAAATGATAATACAAAAAACCCAAGCCAATCACTCACCACCATATTGCTGTACGATAAGAATTTATTGAAATATCAATTCGGGCCCGGACATTTTCGGCCAATGATACCGCGGCAAGTTCGGCCCATGTAACACCTAAAAATTTTAAGATTTGGCGGTAAAATCTGACGTTGCATGCTTTATGATGTCATAATTCCAATGGGGGCCGAACTTACGGCCATCCGATCCTCCGACAGGATAGTTAAATAATGTTCAAAAACGGACATGCTGCCATACTTACTAGAACGGACTTAAATAAAAAAGGGTCGAACTTGCCCGTCTCCCTATTGTTATGTCGGTCTTAATCTCATTAGAGCTTGTGTTTTATTGTTATTCTTCGACTAGCCGACTTTTAATAAAGTTTATCTTATCTCATTCTGAAAGTTGTATTCTTAATCAGTAAATATCAGAGATCAACAATGGCTACGCTCTTTTAAGGCTTTGCCTTTTCATATTAACCTTGAAATAGTAAAGAATTCCCGCTACAAAAATTAGTTGACCATTGACCTTCATACAACATGCAGAAGACAAACATTAGGAAAGCTAAGAGTCTGTAGGTATAAGTGTCTGAGAGTGAACATGGAGGGGTTTTATAATGGTGTCGTGATGGGATTGAGAGTGAACATGGAAGGGTTTTATAATGGTGTTGTGATGGGATTGAGAGTGAACATGGAGGGGTTTTATAATGGTGTTGTGATGGGATTGAGAGTGAACATGGAGGGGTTTTATAACGGTGTCGTGATGGGATTGAACAGATTTCGACTAAATTTGGTCTGGAGCATCCTTAGGCCAAGGGGGCTCAATTTTGTATAAACGATTGGTGTCAGGCCCCCCTGGGGCAGAGAGGCGGGGCCCAATAAGGGATATCGAGGAATAGCTTTAATATCCTTCTTCTTTCTGTTGGGGTGAAGGTATTTTGACCAAATTTGAACAGTAGCATTCTATGGGGAAGGAAAATCAATTTTGAATAAATGGTGGGTTTGAACCCCCTGGGGGCAGAGGGGCGAGGCCGAATAGGGAAAATAGAAAAATAGCTTTAAAATCCTTCTGCTTCTGTAGGGATGACAGGATTTCGTCCATATTTGGCCTAAAACATCCATGGATGAAGGGGACTTAATTTTGTATCAATGATGGGTCTGACTCCCCTGGGGGCAGAGGGGCGGGGCCCAATAGGAGAAACATAGCAAATTCTTCAAAGCCCTCCATTCCCTGAAGGATTGACAGGATTTTGTCCAATTGCATATAAATATAACCCCTGACTAATAACCATGTAATACATGTACACTCCCAGCAACATCTGGCTATTTCCACTTCAATTTTGCTAACATTTCCAGGTGAGCGATACAGGCCCTCTAGGCCTCTTGTTTAAAACATTCTTCTTATAACGGAAGTAAAACACATCATATTGTGTGAATTCTATGCTAAATATGGATAAAATCAACTTGCATTCATAGTAGCATGAATGTTGAAAAGATTCTGTTAAGTATGTTTATTTTCATTTTAAATCTATAGATATTAGCGATAAGAAAATAAGAATTCCATAATATCTGGTTTGATGAAGTGTCTAGTGATATTCTGGGAGTACCAAGGTAAATATAACTTTTGTCATAGTGTACAAGAAAATTAAATATGTTTAAACTAGTGAAAATTATCTACCCACATTCTATAACACATGAGGTCACAGGTAAACAGGTATGTACAGGTAATAAGATCACAGGTAAACAGGTATGTACAGGTAATAAGATCACAGGTAAACAGGTAAGACATTCATTTGGATCTGCTTATTATATATTCTACAGCTAGTCTAGCAATGTCAGTGATTTAGACAGTTGCTAGGCAACAACTTCAGGCAGTTGCTAGGTTATTTGATGTCTCAGTTTCTCTCTGAAATATTTCTGTTAAGCTAAATCTGCAAATTCTGAAACACTCTCAAACATATTGCCTAATTTCTATGTTTATGATTTATTTCGAGCATGACCTTGACATGTGACCTCTAACTTTCATGTTTCCAAAGCACTTTGAACTACTTATGTAAATATATTTGTCGAAGCAAATTAAAAAAATATGTATGAGCAAGCATGTTGACAGTAGGAGATAATCACTGATGTGATAATGTTAACATGTATATAAGTCATACATTTCGATAATTGGAAACAGATTACGGAAGTAAGGTTATTAACACATGATAAGTAAACTGTAAAATGTCATTAAGATATGAAAGGTCTTCCTGATAATTAAATACTGAGTCTGATCATTAGTGCCTGGGTAAATCAAATATAAAACACACTCAGTTTGCTAAGTTCAGTTGTGTGATTAACCTTTTTCAGGAACAAGAGCAAACGACATCTGACCGTCTGTCCATATTTGGTCTGATGGTGAAGCCTGTCCAGCGGTTCCCACAGTTCATCATGTTCATGCAGGTATATCGTACTTAGCCAATGTGATTATCTCCCTTTGGTGATGCCCTGATCAGTAGATCTTTATAGAAAGTGTACCACTGTCAGAAATGTAACAATGCATTGGAAACTATTTTTTCCTTGCAGGACTAAAGCTTTGATAAATCATTTCTGAAAAGAAAACCATACCTAGCCGGATTTTCCTGAAAAAAAATGTATAATTAACAATAATGTTTAAAGTAAAATAAATTGGTGACTAGACTGAAATTTGAACCCTGGACTTTAGATTGTTATACTATCCCTCTAACCAACTGTGCTGCCTGGTCAGCAAAAGTGGCATGGCTCCAATGTGCTACAGGTACGTAAGTGTATTTCAAAAACAAAATTAAGGGGAGGTTACTATTTATAACAAAAACCACAGTGCTCTGGGACAGGGATCCTTAAGTACTATCGTCAAACCCTTTTCTTTCTTTATCGCAGACTGAGGATTGTACTTGATACATGAACTATAAATTGAAAAGTGGTAGACATTAGATATAATTCTATGATGTGTTAGTTTTTCCATGAGGAAAAGGAATAATCTTAACCTTCCACTAACTGTAAAGTTACTGTCACCTAGGACTTACTGAAGTACACACCACCGAACCACCATGACCGCTGTGCCCTCCAGAGGGCGATGACTGAACTAGAGAATGTTGCACACCGCCTCAACGAGAGCAAACGTGAAAGTGAACAGTATCTGGAGGCTAAGAGACTGCTCAAAAAGCTTGGCAGGACGTTTCCTGAACGCTCACAGAAACTGCTCCGTCAGGACGACTTTGAACAGATGGTAGGTCTGCCCTGAGATATTTCCTTCTCAAAAAGTTTACATTTAAATGATTAAATTAAATGTTATGTAAATCAATTTATGATATATTTAAACAAGATAAACAGAAAATAAGAGAGAGGAGGCAGAACTTGTCTAATGTGTTACAACACAAAGCAGAAATAGGTGTCCTATGTGTTAAAACTGTGTATATTGGTCTGTTGCCAAGGGTTATACTTTAGTTACCTTTAAAACGGAAACACATGCGCTACAGTAGAATTATTTGAAGCCTTTTAGCCCACCTGTTACAAAGTTCTTGGGTGAGCTTACATACAGAATAAACACTGTGATAGATATCAGTTTGGATTTAACATCCCACCTAAATTCTGTATGATTGATTTTGTAGACCAAGGCCAATAACTCTGCGGAGATCCAGATGAAGAAGCGGCGCCTCATTCTGATGGATGACTGTTTGATTTTGATTGGTGTAACTTACAGGTAAATATAGAATATACCCTTAACTAATGTTTATGACCTTGAACTATAAAATGCTGATACCAACTCTATACTATGACCTTTACCCTCAAGGTCATAGACTGAAAATGTTGATATCGTTCCTCCGCCATGATTGTTTCTAGAGCAGTAATAATATAAGACTCTTTCATGCCCAGGGGTGTAGGAAAGGGACATTCCACTCGAGGGGTTTTCAAATTTGTTAAAACCCGAGGCTTTGCCGAGGGTTTTGCCAAATTTGATAATCCTGAGGATGGAATGTCCCTATCGTACAACCTTGGGCATGAAAGAGTATTTTTCTCTCATTCCAACCACCAGAATAATGCTAGAAACCATAAATATGCGTTTTGACTGGCTAATGTGTACGGTAAATATATAGTAAAAGGTTTTAATTTCTTCACGTCGTCTTTTCCGCATTGTGGCATCGGAGAGTTCCAAACTGTGACGTCAAGTCATTGTTGAGCTATTGTGACGTCACGTCACATGAAATGGGGTGTTAGATAGAAATTTCCTACACCCCTTTCTTACCCTGGACAGCTCTATCTTACACACAGGGAAATGAGAGAAAAATTGTTCCAGCTTATCTTCACAAAATAAAAAAATATCCTGCTGGTAGTATAGTGGTCGCTTTCCTATGCTCACTTTTGTAACCAGATTTCCGTGGCCATTTTTATATTACCGTAGAAACAACTTGCAAAATTGCTGAACTTTTCAAAAATTGTTCACCGGTTTTTTTCATAATCTGTAGAGACACTGAAGACCGCCGGGCGTCAGAGCAACTGAAGGTGAAGAGTGTTTGTGCACTGGTGAATCTGGAGTTGAAGGATAGTTCTATCTCTCCTGACATGCAGAGCAATATCTTAACCACAGGTCGGCGAACTTCCATACAGACAAAGGCCCCACGTATGTACTGCCTGATACAATGTCTTAATTAAGCATTGAAATGCCTTAAGTTGGCATTCATAGACAACATGAATGCTAACTGGACAAAGGCAAATGCATTGAAGCGTGCTTAAGCGCTTCACGTTGGATTTGCCTCTTCCAGCTGGCATTCATATTGCTATGAATGCCAACTGAAAACAGTTCAATACTTATGTTTACTGTTTTTGGTATCTGTTTGTCTCATAGAAAATTCAGTTACTATTATTCAGCATGTGGTTCAAATAATTATATTTATTTATCATTTATGCTTGTTCAGTGAATAGAACAGCCATCAGTCCAAGGAGGGTCAGTGTTATCCAACAGACTTAATCATTGTGTTATAAGAATGATAATGTCAACAATTGACTCATGGCATTCATAGACTATATGAAGGCATTCATAGACTATATGAATGCCATCTAATGTACTCGAGTTATATAGTGGCAATGCCAAAAGTTGATCAACACTAGAACAGAAAATTTTACTGAAGTTCTGGGAAAATAGAAACAACAGACAACCCCGGGAAAAAAAATTGACAACCAAGAATGTTGTTGGAAAGAATGAAGGATGCTGCACGCTGAACTTATTTGTGTATGTACCGACAGAAAAGCCGGAGGATGATCCCTTCCACCTGTACAACGACCTTAGCGGCATGATGCATGACCTTTCTGTTCTTGCTAAGATCGGAGCCCTCACCTCGTCGCTTCAGAATACGTACGAGGTAGGTTTATACTTCATCATAAGGTGGATACAAGATAAAGACAGTTTTCATCATACACAAATAGAAGATGACTGATTTAAGGTAGGTCCCTACACTTATAGGACTGCCACATAGTAGAAATGGCATACAGTGTTTTACTTTACCGTCTATCCGACATCTGCACAACATTGTAGTGATACTTTTCTTATTTTACAGGTTAAATTAAGTACAGGTTTGAAAGAGTTTTTGTTGATATGATATAAAAAAAGTTTATTAAATTGATCCAATAAAGCTTCCTTGATGTGAAAACTTCCAAAATCATTTAAAATTATTTTCAATTCATTGTGAAACTTGCTAGCTGAGACCTCATTTCTTTTTCTATAAAAAAGCTTTTTAATTCACTGAATTTCTAGGAATACAATATATTGTGATATGAATACAATATATTGTGATATGAATACAATATATTGTGATATGAATACAATATATTGAGATATATTGTCACAATATATTTTTTTACACCTCAAGTGAATTTCTAGCTATTTGATTGGTTGGGAGAAAATTAAACAAAAATCTCTGTCCTCCTCCGAAAATACATTGGTTTTAATGGACGCGGTTGATATTGCCATGAGACAGTGAAAAATATCACATGCGCGAAAAATGTGCGTTCACCGCTTCGTTTCCCCATCGTGATGGTCACAAGAACGTTTGACGTTAACAGCCAATTTTATCAAGTGCCGGTGCGATAGCGATTGTAAACAGCAGACTATCAACAAACAAAATGTCATTATCGAGGTTTGCTGCCGTTTCTGAGCTACAAAGACTTTTGGTGTAACAAAATAGATATGACATTCATTAGCAGGTGACAGTGAATAATGTCAACCCGAGAAAACCATTGTCACCCAAGGCGAAGCCGAGGGGGACAATGGGTTTTTGAGGGTTGACAATATTCACTGTCACCTGCTAATGAATGTCATATTTATATAGTAGTATACCCTTACATATTGCAATCTTCTGCAATAAGAAATTGCTTGCTTCATTGACCAATTGATATTTTAGTCCTCATTTTATCAGAAAGAAGTTTAGTTGTAGAAATTTATAAATATATCGCTTACAAAATTTTCATAACTCCTCATTTTCCACGTGACAGAATTTAAGCGAGGATCTTGTGATTGAGGTGACACGTGACCTCCAGCAGATGATTCAGGTGAAGGACCAGCAGCTTCAGCTTCTGAACAGCTGTACCATCAACGTCCACGATACCTTCAAGTAAGTCTGCACCACTAGTAATTATACTGTTTCATGTCACTGCCACGATATAGTCCAGTAAACTTGTTAGTGTGACCACCTGTATTAAGAGATCACTTTAAATGTTCTCCATTGAAGTGATTTCATTGTGAATTGAACCTGTATAAAAAGACCATTTGAGTTCAGACCACTTTTTGGACTTTCCAATGGTGGTCTCTTAAAATGGGTTTGACGACTTTTAAGACTTATGACTTTATCAAACTATTGTAATACAATGTTGACATTGTGATAAATCCAACATGAATTTTCTCTACACTATTATTACCATATTATGCAGTATTGACAGTGTGATATATTTTACAGGAATATGTGATACACTATCATCATAATTATGGTATGAACAATATTATTTTTTTAACAGGAATGTGCGGTACACGTTCCAGACATCGACGCCAGTGATGAAGCAGGAGTGGTGTAAAGAGTTCCTCATGGCCAAGTTTGCTCTCGGTAGGTCTACCATATATATCACCTTTGTAAACAGCCATTAAACAACAATCAGTTTCAAAATCCCTAGCACTTAACTATATCTCAGCGATATCCTCTAACCTATATCTCAGTGATATCCTCTAACCTATATCTCAGCGATATTGTCTAACCCATATCTCAGCGATATCCTCTAACCTTTATCTCAGCGATATTGTCTAACCTATATCTCAGCGATATCCTCTAACCTATATCTCAGCGATATCCTCTAACCTATATCTCAGCGATATCCTCTAACCTTTATCTCAGCGATATCCTCTAACCTATATCTCAGCGATGTCCTCTAACCTATATCTCAGCGATATCCTCTAACCTATATCTCAGTGATATCCTCTAACCTATATCTCAGCCAAATCCTCTAACCTATATCTCAGCGATATCCTCTCACCTATATCTCAGCGATATCCTCTAACCTATATCTCAGCGATATCCTCTAACCTATATCTCAGCGATATCCTCTAACCTATATCTCAGCCAAATCCTCTAATCTATATCTCAGCGATATCTTCTAACCTATATCTCAGTCATATCCTCATTGTGGCCACTAATATACTCCATAAGTTTATCAAACGTCTCAGCCTCTATCAGCTGTCATCAATTTTCCTTCCAAGGGATAATAGTGAAACTTGGATGGGTCATCTCAGAGACCCTTGGTCAAATAGAGGAAAAAATACTTTTGACTTTTTCTCCAGTTCAAATGTAAACTCAAATGGCTCAGTTGTTAGTGCTAGGGGGTTAATGTGTGAGGATCTAGTGTACCAAGAGAAAACCCACGTGGTTGAGCTGGTGAACCCATAATTTTTCATATCCGATCGCGCAATCAAACCCTGGCCGCATCAGTGAAAGGCAAGTTGGCTATTAACTGCACCGCCCTTGCACCCAGTTCAAATAGGTACATGGTAATATCTGTATAAGTGATGTAATATTTATTGTATGTACAGAACCACCCAATAACCCTGGCTGGCTGAAGGGAGAGGAGACCAATTCACTACAGCCTGCTGTCTTCATGAAGTCTGTCTGTGTGGACATGCCTCGCAACTACACTAAGGTAGGTAACTATTGGTGACATGGATTTCACTCACCTCACAACTACACTAAGGTAGGTAACTGTTGGTGACATGGATTTCACACACGTCACAACTATACTAAGGTAGGTAACCCTTGGTGACATGGATTTCACTCACCTAACAACTATACTAAGGTAGGTAACTCTTGGTAACATAGATTTCACTCACCTCACAACTATACTAAGGTAGGTAACCCTTGGTAACATGGATTTCACTCACCTCACAACTCCACTAAGGTAGGTAACTCTTGGTAACATGTATTTCACTCACCTCACAACTATACTAAAGTAGGTAACTGTTGGTGACATGGATTTCACTCACCTAACAACTATACTAAGGTAGGTAACTCTTGGTGACACGGATTTCACTCACCTCACAACTATACTAAAGTAGCTAACTCTTGGTGACATGGATTTCACACACCTCCCAACTATACTAAGGTAGGTAACTCTTGGTAACATAGATTTCACTCACCTCACAACTATACTAAGGTAGGTAACTCTTGGTGACATGGATTTCACTCACCTCACAACTATACTAAAGTAGGTAACTCTTGGTGACATGGATTTCACACACCTCACAACTATACTAAGGTAGGTAACTCTTGGTGACATGGATGTCACACACCTCACAACTATACTAAAGTAGGTAACTCTTGGTGACATGGATTTCACTCACCTCACAACTACACTAAGGTAGGTAAGTCTTGGTGACATGGATTTCACTCACAACTCCATACTTTTAACTTCTCTATAAGTTTGATTGTTAATCACCTTTCTAGGTACAAAGTGGTGCAATGATGATTTTAAAATTTTAAAATTGAATTGGCTTAAGAAATTTTCAGGTTCATGTTGAATTTACATATTCATATATCACACCGGCAAAACAGGCGTGACAGTGAAATGACCTAGTATAAATTTTAAGATATGAAACATTGACTAAGCTTATATAAAAATATGATTATTCATTGCCAATGATGAAATAGTTTAGTAAAATAAAATGGTAACCATTCCTTCTCCTGTTTTTTCTGCTATTGACTGTTGATTTCTACCTCTTAGATGAAGTGTGCAGTACCTGTTTTCCTGTCCGCCCCTGGGACCATTGATATTGGTATTCAGCATTTATGGGTTGTCATGACAACAGAGAAGCGGACACAGGTTGCCCTGGTGTCCACCCAGTCGACAAAGCCTGCCCTGGTGGAATCGTTCCAGGCTATGGACGTGGAGGCGGTTGCTGTGGAGATGGTCCAGGGTTACGCCACCGTCGACACAGAAGATGCGTTTGTGGAGGACACAGTGTGGATGTCCACCATTAAGTCAGAGTAAGTAAACAGCATCAGCTGATACTGGTTTGATTGTTTAATACACTCCTTTGATAACTGCCATTATAGCCAATGATAAGATTGATAGGGTCTATCATATGTAGGTATATGGGATATGGATGTTCTACCCTAGGGGGATGGGGGATAGAATTTGAGTCAGAACTGAGGCTTTACCAAGGTTTCCACACCAAATTCTGTACCCAAGGGTGGAATTTCTATATCCCACATATCGAAATAATGAGTGATTCTACCTCTTAACAAAATTTTGGTTAAACAGGACATTGACAATACAAATGCAACACCAAATAGCCATAGCTGTCAAAAATCATTAGGAGGTAAACTCCCTCATTAGGAGGTAAAATCCCTCATTTTGACCAAAATTTTACAAGCTCCCTCGAAACTCCCTCATTCAAGTCAAAACTCACACAAACTCAAAATCTACATCCTGTGGTCAAATGATCTCCTAGTTACTGCAGGGTGTGATTAATGATCATAACAGTGTGTCTGAATCAAAGGAACGCTTTTTGGAGTTATTTGATACATAAAGAGGGAACAATCAATTGAGCAAAGCAGTTTCAGCTGCGTTTCGTGCACTTCTCCCTCATTGGAAATGTGGGATGAGGAAGTTTTTTTTCGAACTAAAAAAATCAATTACCTGTAACTGAGCAAGATTAGGTTATCTCAGTCTCTGGCTAAGATTTTGTAACATCCCAACCTCGGCTTATGCCTCGGTTGGGATTTTGTTACAGAATCTTAACCCTCGACCGAGATAACCCGATCCCGTCAGTTACAGGTAATAGATTTTATTATTCCGCCTTTTCGTATTGCAGAGTTATCTGCTCTTGTGAGCAGGTATTGATTGTTACGTCATTTGTTTGTGAAAGTAACGTTATAAGTTTTTGAGAAAACGACGTAATTTTCTCACACAAACAAGAGCAGATAACTCTGCAATACGAAAAGACGGAATTGACAAACTAAGGTCATATTCACATTCATTAATTGTGATGTCATAATAGCACAGGTCACTTAGTGCACACATGGATGTTCCACATGGGACACATGTATCTTGCATTCGCAGAGGTGGGAGAAAAAATAGTAATGATTAAAAGTTTATGAGGTTTTTAGCTAAGGCGTTAGCCGCCAGCTATTGGTATTACTTTAGTTAATGAGCTCAGATATTCATAAATGTCGATTTCACACAGACGGCCTCTAGCGGTAGTCACTGGTACTAAATTGAATCATATACCGGACCTACTGTCTTTATTATGCGTAACTTTGGACTCAAATGCACTTGAATGGCTTGTAAATATCATTACTTTTCTTTATAGAACATATGATCTTATCACAACGTCGTATTCTTATTGAAAATGCACCCTGTTTATCTCAATCGGGAACTGCTACTTGAATGTAGGTCATGCATGCTACACGCAACTTCCGGTAAAAATACTTCAGTTAATGAGCTCAGATATTCATAAACGAGACATAACGTCACCTTCTAGTAATACTAAACAAACTGCAAATAAAATCCATTACCACGGACTCAAGTTCACTCAAACGTCATTGGATATAATCTTATTCTTAGTTAGAACTAAGTATCCTTCTAAAACTTCGTATTTACTCTTGGAACTGTCGCTGGATTAACCCTTTACACGGAAATATTGTCCTGTGATTGGCTAAAATTGGTGACATTTACGTCCCTGTTTACAATTATATATTGCGTGGTCAGAGCTATGAAGCGGTCCTGTTCCAACTAACTGAGGATAATCAAAAGTGCTAATCAGTAATAATATATCTGATTCACGCTTCATATGATTATAATGTTATCAAAATATTGCATATTCGTTCATCGTTAAAATAACAAATCCTTACTAAAAACTCTAAAAAAAGAAACGACGGCCATGTTAGATCACGCGTGATGTTATCCGTTTCCTTATATGGCCTTCACGGCCAAATATAGTATTACTACTGATGCGGTCATGTTTACTACAATTTCCATATTTGGTCATGACACCCATATTTAGACGTCTGACCTATATCGGAAAGATTGAGGAAGTTTCCAACATGGCAGTCAATTAGGATTTCGCTTGCACTTGTTACGTAAACTTGATAATTTAACGAAATATAAGGCGGAGTATAACTTACAATTATGTAGGAGATCAACATAAAAAGTTCATATTACAAACCTATTAATGGATACGGATCCTGTCAATTAATTCTAAAATCGCCTCCGTGTGATTCACACCAGGCTTGCCTAACTAAAATGGGATCAACCGGCCGGGGCAGATGAGACCGGGAATCATGTTAGAACTAGCCACTGTCCTTCTCTAGTTCCATATTGGTATTCTAACCTGAAGGCTTTTTTTACCTTCGCAGTATTATCATTTTGTTCTATTTTCATCATAAGATATGCTATTGCATTTTTATATCGCCTTCTCGCTAATTACAGCTCAGCCAGAAACGAAAATATGCTCCGATAGGCCTACATTTTATATGTCTGTTGGTGTGATTTGTGTTTTTCGTTTATTGAAGTATTACCATATAACAGGACTCTTTTATTTCAATATACACAAAAACAACAACACCTTCGGAATGATTTCAGACATATACTGCGGGAAAACACGAGTGATCTCCCTTACATTTAGACATGCGCACATTTTACTTTCGTTTTGTGTAGGCCTAGACATCATTCGCAACGCGAAGCGGAAAAGACGAAAATGCAGGCGAGTGTTGACTTAATGTTAGGCATGTTGTTTAAGCAGCATTGACAATGAACAATATACATACACTTCTGCAACGTTTACCTACTACTGATTCATAAATAAGGCTATGTATCCCGATTTCGGTGACTTGTGGCCAAGCATGCGGCCGAAGCCGCAGAGAATGGCGCATGTTGTCAGCGGCGATGACAAAAAGGAAGGTGCTTCTACGGTATGTATAGCAGTTATTATGCAAAAACAAACATAATAAACGGACGTTTTACTCTAGTGAATTACAGCGTCACGAGGAACGTCTTTCTCCAGACGTGTTGCAAAATTTTCGAACTGCTTAGTTGCAAACTGATTTCACTTAAGCGTTGTTTGTGAGGATATTTGGCCTTACATTTCTTCTCATTCAGTTAAAAAAAAACATGTTATAAACATTGTATTATTAGATTCATTGTGATGTTGGCTTTCATTGAAGTTTCAATTGTTATACTACTTGATGTTTTGGAAACTTAAACAAGTATAGTAGTTCTAAATATTATGAAATGACAGAAACATTAGGCCAAACAAATTACTTGTGTTTCTACTATCAGAAAAAAATAGGGTAGGTATGTATTAGCTAGGCATTTTATTGTTAATTTGAAAAATATCTTTACTGCGCTAATATAGAGCAGGAGTTCTGACTTTAACAGTGCATATAAAAACTTAAGGGTATTGTAGAACACAAATCTGAGATAAGTCTGGTTAACCACACTGGTGTCGAACACACCAATAAGTATAGTGTGTATAATATATCATAGTTTATACACATCATATTACTATTAGTGTGTCCAGTATCTGTGGGGTTAGCATAAACTCAATATTTGTTTTAAACTTTTAATTGGCCTTATATAATGATCATTTATAGGTCAGACAGGGTTTGGTTTCCAATTCGGAAACTAGACCTGTTAAAACAGTTATCATTTGTAATTTAGAGATTAAATATTTCTAAGCAGAAAAAAATGAACTATAAATATTTTTCAACCTTTTCTGAGTTGTACAATTTTAGAGTATCTTCTGTCTGAAATCTGAACATAACTTGTTTTATGATAAATGTGTAAAACAATTCCTCATACTGGGGTAAAGTTTTTCTATATATAGTCCCAAAAACTACAGATAAAATCCTTGAGCACGTACAAGATACAAAAATATATATTTTACGTCCATTTTGCAAAACATACAACATAAGCTACAAAGACAAAACATGAGTATAATAACAGAGACCAAAATATTACAACATGGAAAAATAAAATAAAAACATGTATGTACATGTAGTATACTGTAAGCTCAGAAAAAGAGTTTATCACTTGGAAAGCACTTAATAGGCACATTGAACACGGTAAGCACATCAGCACATGGTAATTTAAGCACATTTAGAACATTTGCATACAGCACATAAAAAACAAAACCATAACATGGAAAGCTTATTAGCACATAGTAGGCACATTTGCACATTGTAAGCAAAATAAAGGAGTGCAATGGACATCTCCATGTTTCCTGGTTAATTTCTTCTTTATGGAAACAACCAGGGGAGAGTGATGTTCTGCTTCATCTTTTGTATTAATGAAAACCGTGAATATCTAAGTGCGTGTGTTTAAACTAATTTTGTTTTGTTTTTACTGGTACCTTTTTATGTACACATGTTTTACCACCTAAGGAATTAGATGTCTTAAGCCCCCATATGATGTGCTGTTATAAGTTGAATTTAATGTACATTTTGTTTATATTTAGTTCTGCTACCAAAGAGATTGACTTATTGAAATGTTTTTGAAACATTTTAATGAACTCCTCAGCTTTAATGCCTTATTTCTCACTATACAAGCTCATATTGCTATGCCTCCTATTTGTTTGAATATCATCTCTAAACATTATTGCTGGTGCAGAAATTATATGGTAACTATGTTCTATTTTAGGGGGGGAAAGCAATCAATATTACAACAGACAGGGATGGTTATTGATGGGAGAAAGGAGGATGAGAAATAGGAACTGTACCAACTCTCTCATACCTTTGAGGACTTCATGAACTTTTTCAAAAGGCTGCAAGAACTATACCAACAGTGACATGACATTTTGAAATCTGTCAGTTACTTTATAGAGGAGGAACCTCTGACTAAATCATTTTCTCTCAGACACATGAAAGCCGAGTCCACAGATCCTTCCATCAGCGAATAGTTCAAATGTAGTTCAAATGCTTTCCTCGCAAACTTTTCCTTAATGGAGAAGTCAGTGATCTTTACTTGGAACAGATTGAATCTGTGAATATTGATGCTGAAAGCCTGATGAATGTGATTGAACAGCCCCTACTTGATGCTGAAACCCTGATGAATGTGATTGAACACCCACTACTGACTAAGGGCACAAATGTTGGAAACAACGTTTGTTTTGATCAATATAACACTATGGGTGGTGGGAGCAAATTGGAAAAAAAATTAAAAGTATGTTTTTAAAGATAGAAATACTGGTCATGGCTTCCTTTTAGTTTTTGTCCAATGAATTAAAAGTCAACGCAAATGTTAAGTAGTAAAAGAAATGTAAGATCCCTGGTATACATTGTACTTTTAACAATGCTTATGATCAATATCAATAAAATAAAATAAAAGTTATAATATGTAACTTGATATTTGTTAACTTCGCTCGATTTTACTGTGTCCAACATTTGATATTAAATCTTGTGTGATATATGAGAGGGATAGCACACAAGATTGTATCAATGTCAATGAAAGCAATTATTTCTTAAGTTTTCAACCATATTTCTTGAAACTTCATTTCTAAATTTCATACATCAATTGTTCAAGACAGTTTTAAGGTCAATTTCATTCAGTCAAGGTGAAGGCTACAGCTTCACAACCTGTTCATGTACATGTGACAGAGAAATTGTCAGTGCATTCCTAACTAAGTATTCAAACCAAATTTTATAAACCTTGATCCATCATTCTCAACATTAAATCATGCACTACCTGTTTGCATATACACAAGCAACCTCAACTTTCAATAAGTCCTGTTGTCAACATTTGTTGCACAATGCTATCAGTTCTGAAACCAACAATCATGACAACTGTAATAACATAGTATGTGTTCTAGCTGGTACATTTGCAGTACTCTTTTGAAATGTATTTGAAATTAATATGTGCATCTTATTTCAAATGCTAGCCTATGAAGATGATAAAGCTGAACATATGCTATAAAGTTGTTGTTTTCTTTGTGAAGAATTTATGCAATGGAAATAGAGGGAAAATAATGTAACTCTCCTAATCTTGTGTGTGTGTGTGAGTATGTATGTTTATATTTTGTTTATCTTATTCAATATTGAAACATACAACAATGTATCATATTGAATTAGAGTGCTTTTTATATTATTTGTTCATGGGAACACAGATTCAAAATAGTTCCATTTTTCATAAGAAGAGACCTTTTCACTGCAGTGAATATGTAAAACACTTTATTTAAAAGTTTTTCAAAATTATTGAGAGACTTGTAAATTTATGGGTAGCAGTAATCCACTTGCTTATCCACAATTTAGTTTCGGCAAGTAAACATCCTTATAAATATTGTTCTGTAACAATATACACTGACTGATGCAAAATTGAAACTTGAACAAAATTCACACGTATTAAAAAGCATGCCAACCCTGGTCGATGTGCACACTTTACAAGATAACTTGCTTGAATATATATTGATCAATATACAAACTTAGACGATAAGTTCAAAGTTGAGTGAAATCCATGCCTAATTAATTAGCATACTGTACTCTGATTGGTCAATGGTTTTATGCCAAGTAACTTTGTTAGATAAGGCAAGGGTTGATATCTTATTCAACAACAAAGGCAAAGTTCAAAGATGTTCACAATCTGTGCATAATCTATTCAATGGTTTAAAATAATCAGGTATTGGTCAAAGGGGTAAATGCCAGTTTCAGTTTTTAATGTTCTATGAAATACATTGTATGGACAAAGGGAAGCAATTCCAAATTCCTATGCAAATTAATTATCCAAAGGTTTAAAATGATATATTCTAGAGGAAACTTGGTACCACTCTTCTGACAAACCTATAAAGATATACTGTACACACAAGAAGAATAACTTCACAGTGGTACACTTTTACATAAAACTTTGATTCATAACAAATTAACTGTAAATCCTTCTGTACAATATGATGGGAACTTCGTCTTTATTTTGTTCTCCATTCCAAAAATAATATATATATCTTTTGCCTTAGCTTTCAGTACTTTCAGTACTTTGATTATCTGTGCTGGTGCTGTTTTGGCCAGCATACTTCAGGAGCAGTCTTTAAAGAATAAAGTATCATTTTCTCTTTGGGGTCCTTTCTTTTTGCTCCATATTTATAAATCCTTCATTTATGCAACAACGGTTTGTCTTTAAAGAATTAAGTATAATTTTCTCTTTGGGGCCCTTTTTTTTGCCCCATTTTTATAAATCCTTCATTTATGCAGCAACGGTTTTCCCTGGCCCAGGGATAATCCATGGAAAATTGATTTTAAAAATCTCTTTGACTAGTAGTGTTTCAAAAAAAATTGATGGCAGAGGAACTGGCAAATGTTGCGCCATGGCATAAGCTTGCTGAACACTTTGGCTCAGTGAGTTAAAATGGATTAACAGATTCCTATTTAACAATAATACTTATGAAGTTCGCTTTTGTTTATCATGATCCAAATGGTTGGACCAGAGTGTTTGTTAATGAAAACCGCTCCACATAAACGAACAGGCCCTTTAAAGTCTGCAAGCAATGAGAACATCAGTACGACTGTTTGAATGTTAATGCCAGTTTGCTTGTTTGTTGTCTGTTTTAATGACTGTTGCAACACGTACATGTTTGACTGTGTTTTCATACCTGTTCCAGGATTGTGGTGTTCCGTCTGTTTAACGAAGCTGGTAGAAGAGACCTGTCCACCACGGCCAGGAAACCTCGCACACGCTTCTTCTGTCACGGCATCGCCATGGTGATACGGGCCATTGACGACCGTGTGTTTGTGGGATGCAATAACGGAAATCTTGTTATCTATGACCGGGGTGAAGGTAACATCATTACATTCAGTCCTATACTTATACTTATACTTGGGGTAAACAGAATAATTAGTGTGTACCAGGATACACTCGACCAGCCAATTATCGCCCTCCACCGGTAAAATCTTTGTTCAGCATTGATTTTGTCCTTCACATGTTTTAACTATATAAGGTATACTGTCAACTTATACTCACTCTCATGATGAATAGGCCTCATTGCAGAAGGCAAAAAAGGTGAAAATTTAATTGTAGCGAAATGTCAATGTATATAGTATCTCTAAAAGGAGTGCAATGTTCAAGTTACATGTAGTTATGTCCGGGTTGTGGTTTATATTTTTAATGTTTTATGAAAGACATGGTTTGTATCTGTGATTGCAGGCCAGATTTATTAATATTTCTTAACACTTTCCCTGTTTTAAGTAACACTTTCCCTGTTTTAAGTAACACTTTCCCTATGGGAAATTTCAAATGTTAGTTGAGATCATGTTTCATGAAAATGAGGCCATGTATAATTTTAATGTTATTATGTGCTTTAACATACTTAACGAAAATGAATATCAAATATTCATATAGATGCCAATGTCCAAAAAGAATTGAAGTAGAAATATGAACAACTTGCCACAATAATTCCCATGAAAATTAATTCAGAAAATATTATAAGACAATAAATACTTTCAGAAGGGAAATGGAACTTTCGTAACCCCACCATAACCGTGATAGACAATATGCCGATCCGTAGTATCCTAGTGATGGACGAGGAGGTGTGGCTATCGTGTCGGGACTACGTCTATATCGTCCAGTATGAGGAGAACTCCTACAGCGTAAGATTGCAGTTCCTTTGTCGGACATCTATTTCCGCCTTTTTGGGGATTGAAAAACATATTCTAGACATTAATGATCGTACATTGAACAATTTTGGCAGGAATGTAAAGATTGGGTCATAAGTGTGGCCTTTCCAGCATTGGGTCATAATTGTGGCCTTTCCAGCATTGGGTCATAATTGTGGCCTTTCGAGCTTTGGGTCATAAGTGTGGCCTTTCCAGCATTGGGTCATAAATGTGGCCTTTCCAGCATTGGGTCATAAGTGTGGCCTTCCCAGCATTTGAAAATCATTTAAGCTATCAAGATTTATTTTCTAGGCAGATATATCTGAAAGTATTTAAGAAAGAAAAAACAAGCCGGTTAACAAAAAACACTACTTAAACTATGCTTTCATTTGGACAAAATGACTTTGTTATTAATACATTTAAACAATAACTGGTTGTCTGGAGGTAATTATTGTTGATATAATTACAAGTGGCCTCTGGCAAATCCCATAAAACCCGCTATGCATACAACCAGGTATTTTTTATGTTTACATATTTTTCTTTTTTAAGACATATTCCTACAAAAACCATTTGCCCTGCCTCAAAATACATTTCAGGCGGCCATTTTGTTTGTTACATATTCCTACACCTGAAACAGGCAGTTGTAATTATAGTCGAGCAGTTGTAATTATAGCCTATATAATTACACTTGCCCTCTAACACTGTTGTAATGGGACGGCGCGGGGGCAAATGTAAATATTATCTGTTAAAGTGGACTTAATTAGTAAATGATTATAGTAAACCAGTGTCACTTTCCTCTAAATAGTCAGTAAGTTTAGAAAATCTATTGTTTATCTGTACTTAACCAGATTTATCAGAGAAATATCCGAGAACTTCTCGGATACATCTGGTATAGTACAGATAAACAGTAGATTTTCTAAAGGTTTGTCAGAAATATTCTATGGGGCCACAGTGGCCCAGTGTTAAGGTGTCACACTGTCTACAATCACTAGCCCTCCACCAGTGTGTCACACTGTCTACAATCACTAGCCCTCCACCAGTGTGTCACACTGTCTACAATCACTAGCCCTCCACCAGTGTGTCACACTGTCTACAATCACTAGCCCTCCACCAGTGTGTCACACTGTCTACAATCACTAGCCCTCCACCAGTGTGTCACACTGTCTACAATCACTAGCCCTCCACCAGTGTGTCACACTGTCTACAATCACTAGCCCTCCACCAGTGTGTCACACTGTCTACAATCACTAGCCCTCCACCAGTGTGTCACACTGTCTACAATCACTAGCCCTCCACCAGTGTGTCACACTGTATACAATCACTAGCCCTCCACCAGTGTGTCACACTGTCTACAACCACTAGCCCTCCACCAGTGTGTCACAGGTTCAAGGCCTACGTGGGGCACTCGCCAGAATGTTAAATGACCATAGCTGTTAATGGGATGTAAAATACGTACAAACCAATTCTTCTAGCTCTGCGGTTCCAGATTTTGTATTGATTTTAGTTCACTCTTAATATTGCAGGAGAAAGTCCGAATGAGCTCCAATGAAGGAGGATCTGAGATCAGTGAGATGGTTCGGTCAGGTGTTGGATTGTGGGTATCCTACAAGGACCAATCACGTGTCTGTCTTTTCCACATCGAAACCAAGGAAAATCTACAGGAAGTGAACGTGAAAGGCGCTGTGGAAAGGATGGTATCAAGTAGGTGTCATTTCGTAATATTTATAGCACGGAGGTACCATGTTGTATGTCACATGTGTTATAGAAAGTCATGTAATAGAGACACAATGCCTTGTGTCCTCTCTGGGATATCGCTAACACCGGAGGCAAATAGGTATACAGTTGAATCTGCTCAAGCGACCATCTGTATTAAACGACCATCTGTTTTATGCGACCACTTTATATTCCTCTCAACCGTTTCTACTATTTGATTTAACTGTATTAAGCGACCATCTGTCTAACGCGACCAGCGACCAACCAATACTGACCCCAAAGATTACGTTAAACAACCACATTTTAAACATTTTAGCGACCATGTTTGATGAAAAACAGTCTTTGAAATAGCTGTGTGACTCGAAATTTGCTACAGTCACCACATTTGACAAAGGGCTACTTAATAATCTTTTCACCAAGTTCAGTGAACAAATTTGACAAAACCAATTTCCAAACTTAATAATAAATTCATTGATGTGCAGAAAACAAATAAAAAGTCATTTCTCTAACTGCCGATATTGTTGATTTAGCAGTGAAACTACAGACTGATATTTATCGTAGTGTACTTATAAAACATGAAAGATGTTTTATTACTAAGTGAACCAAGATGGCAGCAGAGCAACTGTAAGAGGTTCATGCACTGAACACTGATAGCTGCCAACATGTTGTACTGTCACCCACTGGTATTTAAAACTGTCACCTGTTTCTCTTGAACCAATGTTAAATGTGAATGTAACAGGGGGAATTGGAAAATTCTCACAACCAATAATATTTACAGGATTTTCATATAAAGTATGTAAGTTGCTGTTTAAATAGTGTATCTTTGTTACCTGTTATTGTCACTCGTATGTTGTATGTTGTAAATCGACATATTTCGTTCAATTTTGGCTTTTAATTCTAGGGGAATTTTACCCCCAATACTATGTCAGTAGCTTCTATATATGTATCATCATCTCCAGGAATACTAAAGAGTCAAGTCGCTTCTCTGCAGCTCAGTAGAGTCAATCTTCTTCTCTAGGTCTATTCTATTTCAAGTCTTAGAGTCGAGTCGCTTCTCTGCTGCACAGTAGAGTCAAGCTTCTTCTCTAGGTCTATTCTATTTCAAGTCCTAGAGTCGAGTCGCTTCTCTGCAGCTCAGTAGAGGCAAGCTTCTTCTCTAGGTCTATTCTATTTCAAGTCTTAGTGTCGAGTCGCTTCTCTGCAGCACAGTAGAGTCAAGCTTCTTCTCTAGGTCTATTCTATTTCAAGTCCTAGAGTCGAGTCGCTTCTCTGCAGCTCAGTAGAGGCAAGCTTCTTCTCTAGGTCTATTCTATTTCAAGTCTTAGAGTCGAGTCGCTTCTCTGCAGCACAGTAGAGTCAAGCTTCTTCTTTAGGGTAAGAGTATTCTATTTCTCATCTTCTCCATAAATACTTAAGAGTCAAGTTGCTTCTCTGGATTTCGGCAGAGTCAAGCCTCTTCTCTAGGTGTCTTTTTGGAGTCTTGATGTTAAATTTTAAGTTTAAGTTGTATTAAGGGTATGTTAACCAAGTAGAGTGAGTAGCCCCTGATATGCCAAATGTTAATAATGTATACATGTACTTCTCAGTGTATCTTGTTCATGTTTTTGCTAACATGTGTAATAAACAGGTAACTGTTTATTGTGTTTTAGTTGTATATAAATGTTGTATGTTGCAGGTTGTCCGACTTATGCTAAGGAGAAGTCTACAGACAACTGTTTTGTGACGAGTCTGATGACAAGTCGAGGCTACCTATGGATAGGGACAAATGTAGGGATCATTCTGACCGTTTCTCTACCAAGACTGAAGGACGGGGTACCTCGCTACTGGGACAAACCCTGGGTCTCTTGCCACGCCCACAATGGCCCAGTCAGGCTCCTTATTCCAGTCTATTGTGACACTATTAATCTCTGGCAATTTGTTGACGGGGCCAATCAGATGGCAGGAAATGAACCATGTGACATTAGTGACCTAGGTAGTGAAAGAGGGACATCTAGCTCTGTTGTAGAGCCAGAGGCTTCAAATCTGAAGGACACGTTAGGAGTTCAAGTTCTACCGCATGAGAAAGGGGACGTACTGTTGCCTCAAAATGTGTCCCTAATGACCATGAGGGATGAAGACAATGCTCCTTTGTCCTCTAAATCTTCAAAGCTGCACTTGAGACACAGTCGGAGTACTATGCCATATAGGAGGGAACTGCTGGAGACAGTAAAGAAAAAGCGCCTGGGTACAGTGAGGAATTCTAATCTCCTCGACAAGGTGTCCTCTGAGGAAGAGGTCAGCTTATACTACAGTGACCTTTTGACCTTTGATGAAGGGTCAGATTCCAGTAAAAGTTCAGATCTATCTGAAAAAATCAGTGGAAATGAATCAACTGGGAAATCTAGTGATGTGACTCCCGTTGTTGGGGAAACACAAAATCAACCTCAAGGTGACGTAAACGTACAACAAAGCCACAAGGAAGGGAAACCCAAAAAGTCATTTAGTTTACGCAAAAAATCACTATCAATGCAATCAAAAAATAAATCACCCAACGTGAGAAGCTCCCTGTCTCTAAGACTTCCACCTGGGGAGCACAACGGGCCACGAATGAAGGCCATTAGTACATTGTCTAAGCGAAATTGTAACGCTGTGATTGTGATAAGTGGGGGAGATGGGTATCTGGACTGGAAACGGCCGCCGCTAGAACAAAAGGAATTCCTCCGTAACGATGAATCTTCTCTTATGATGTGGATGTATAAGTTCTAGAGAATCAGTGTAATAGTTGTTGGATAAAAGTAGTCTGCGCTCATCACTCCTAGTTGTGTGAGTCACTTAAGAGGGACCTGTAGTCGCCTTACGGGTTGTCAGTCTTATATTATTTTGTAAATTACAATTTTAATGTTGCTTTTAGTTGACCAATTGAATGAGGAAGCTCTCTACGTTATGACATCTGTTATTGTAGTTTACATTTACATAGTTCGGACTCTTGACGGTACATGGACTGTACTAATGTTATATTTATATATGGCTCAATGACCACGTCTGTGATTGTGGTTTACATTTACATTGTTCGACCACTGTGTTCTTGATTAGAGTACATACGCCAAGCTTCACTTCCACAGGGTGTACAATGTATGCTGAAGGTTGTATGTGTGTTCTACTTGCTATGGAACTGTATTTCCAACCGCTCATTATTGTGTCGTACCACTTGAATACTGCAGCACAGGTACTGATTTATCCAACCCAGACCTTATGATATCAACACTTGGTAGGTGGAGCAAGCAACATTGTAGAACGCCTTGTTTGAGGACAATAATACGAAATTCCGTCACCTGCTGGGGAACCAACATAAGACCTTGCAGTAGATAGATTGAGGCACTACTGTGCTATGTTACCTACTTCACTATAATGACATTGAATGACCTCTGTTGTGATTATATAATGTGATATGTGAATCTAGAAGTTATTTAAATCTTTAAAGTAACCTGTTTCATTTCAATGTTAAATACTTATAAACAATACCTAGGTATTTATCATGCTTCGGCTATTGTTCTGCAAGATCAGTTGTAAATTGTGGTCCGATTGCAGTAGAAAATTATTTCATAATTACATATTTGCACATACTTTAAATTAGGACCTACTAAAGATTTAAATTTGTGTTATAATAATGATTCAAATAGCCAGATGCTTTGTTACTCCTGAAGAACATTTTCTTAAAAGAGGCAGGGCTTAAGTGATCCTGTAAATGAGATTATAGTCAATATTATTTAATTGGTACTTGATTATTGTTATTGTAGTTTAGCATGACTTGAAAACTGGTTGTTATCATTTATCACCCCATCCCCTTGTAAGAGTGCATGGCAGTGTCATCATACATCAGTGTTTGGTAGTGTAATCATTTCTCACCCTGTCACGTATCGCTCCAGATCCTCTTATCAGTGTATGGTAGTGTAATCATGTCTCCCCCTGTCACGTATCGCTACGGATCCTCGTATCAGTGTATGGTAGTTTAATCATTTCTCACCCTGTCAGGTATTGCTACAGATCCCGGTATCAGTGTATGGTAGAGTAATCATTTCTCACCCTATCACGTATCGCTAAAGATCCTCGTATCAGTGTATGGTAGTATAATCATTTCTCACCCTGTCAGGTATCGCTACAGATCCCGGTATCATTGTATGGTAGTGTTATCATTTGTAACCTCAACACGTATCGCTACAGATCCCGGTATCATTGTATGGTAGTGTTATCATGTCTAACCTCAACACGTATCTCTACAGATCCCCGTATCAGAGTATGGTAGTGTAATCATTTCACACCCTGTCACGTATCTCTACAGTTCCCCGTATCAGTGTATGGGAGTGTTATCATTTCTCACCCTTTCACGTATCGCTACAGATCCCCGTAGCAGTGTATGGTAGTGTAATCACTTCTCACCTTGTAAAGTATCGCTACAGATCCCCTTATCAGTGTATGGTAGTGTTTTCATTTCTCGCCCTGTCACGTATCGCTACGGATCCTCGTATCAGTGTATGGTAGTGTAATCATTTCACACCCTGTCACGTATCTCTACAGTTCCCCGTATCAGTGTATGGGAGTGTTATCATTTCTCACCCCGTCACGTATCGCTACAGATCCTCATATCAGTGTATGGTAGTGTAATCATGTCTCCCCCTGTCACGTATCGCTACAGAGCCCCGTATCAGTGTATGGTAGGGGAATCATTTCTCACCCTGTCTCGTATCGCTACAGATCCTCATATCAGTGTATGGTAGTGTAATCACTTCTCACCTTGTAAAGTATCGCTACAGATCCCCTTATCAGTGTATGGTAGTTTAATCATTTCTCACCCTGTCTCGTATCACTACAGATCCCCGTATCAGAGTATGGTAGTGTAATCATTTCTCTCCCTGTCACGTATCGCTACCGATCCCCGTATCAGTGTATGTTAGTGTAATCATTTCTCACGCTGTCACGTATCGCTACAGATCCCCGTATCAGTGTATGGTAGTGTTATCATTTCTCACCCTGTCAGGTATCGCTACAGATCCCGGTATCAGTGTATGGTAGTGTTATCATTTCTAACCTCAACACGTATCGCTACAGATCCTCGTATCAGTGTATGGTAGTGTAATCATTTCTCACCCTGTCACGTATCGCTACAGATCCTCTTATCAGTGTATGGTAGTGTTATCATTTCTAACCTTAACACGTATCGCTACAGATCCCCGTATCAGTGTATGGTAGTGTTATCATTTATCACCTCAACACGTATTGTTACAGATCCTTGTATCAGTGTATGGTAGTGTTATCATTTCTAACATTAACACGTATCGCTACAGATCCCCGTATCAGTGTATGGTAGTGTTATCATTTCTAACCTTAACACGTATCGCTACAGATCCCCGTATCAGTGTATGGTAGTGATGATATTGTTGTGTTCCACAAGTATTACAGTTTTTTGTTATGTAATACTTTGTTGTCATAGTTACCACTTATAACCCCGTCACTTGTTTCACAGATTAATATATATATATATATATTTTAAATATGTTGCCTGTTTCTTTTGCAATTGTGATATTTATATGTACATATTTTTTTCCACCTTGAAAGTATAGATTTTTTTACAGTTTTATCTCAATTTGCTTTTGATATGTGAATGTGTACAGTCATTTGTATGTTATAATTAGAGCTTAATACTTTTAAGCAAATTATTTTATATAATCCATGTGTTATCGAGAGTGAACAAATGAAATGGCAACTAAGTGTTACAGGATTACCAGGTAGACTAACCAAGGCCGCTTTGGTTTATCGTTTGGATCGGTTGTACCAGAGTTATTTGTTTACAAAAGTAGGGACAGACGTAGTGATTTGATTTTTTCCCCGGCAAGCCTGCAGAAAGATTTTGAAGGCCTGCATTAACATTTACAGGTTAATCTTTCTTTTCCCCTGAAATATCAGATATAAAAATAGATGTTCAGTTTGTCCGCATAAGTAAATACGGCCCTGCACTATAGGTAGTTCAGAACTGCCTTCAGTGGTGCTATATGCATATGTGTGATATAATGATGGAAGATTTTACTTGTTAATACATTGGTTTCAAGATTCCTGTGGACTGAATGTGGTGACCAGAACTGTGGACTGAATGTGGTGACCAGAACAAAAGTTTTTGCAATACTTAGAGACACATAACTCTGGTATGGGGGAGGGGGACACATCCTTTTGAACGCTTTTCCCAAGAGTTTCAAAACGGGAGATAATTCAATGCAGCTAAAAATGATATGTAGCTTAGTACATGTATTGTAGGGTGATTCCTACTCGATGGAAAAACATGAGATTCTGTATAGAATAGTTGTTAGAATATAATCTTCCATTATTTTACCTTATGTTGGAGATAAATTTGTGGTTGATTCATGAATGAAGAAAAATGGTGAGATAGAAAAAAGTTCTATGTTGTAGTTGTTTGTGAAGTCAGGGTATGCTTGTGTGGTTAACTGGTGTGTTCTTACTCAAGCTTGCAGGTATTTGGTGCATTATATGAAAGTGTGTTATCATGGGTAATGTATACAACTGTCGAGTGCTATCTGCAATATTATTGTGATTATTCCATTTTGTGCATAAGTAAATCCAAATCTTATTGTGTGAACAATTTTTACATTGTGTAAAGGGATTAAATTATTCGTACAGACAATTGATGCATGGTATATTTATTTACCATTTGTTATTAGTAATTATAGCTATATAGATATATATTTATATCTATAAAGTTTAAAATATATATGTTGCTTCTTATTACTATCTAAAATTTATATTATTTTCCATTTTGTTTCCATTACTATTTATAGTTTTATATGTGTAGATATAAATACTAAGAAGGGTGTAAAATTCATGTGTTCTTGGTTTGTCCCATCCTTTTTCAGGAGTTTGCTATTTAGTGGTTAATATATTAAAATCTATCACAATATCATACCTCATCCCAACAGTTCTGTTAAAACATTTCAGCAGTTGAAAAAAAAGCATTGTGAAAATCATTTTGGAGGACACCAATTGGGGGTTTCCTAGTAGACAGAAGGGAGGTAACTCTGAACAGTATGACTGGTAAGCATGCCTGTATAGCCACCGTTCGTGTTCAACACTGAAGTGAGAAGTATAATTTGGGTAGCTATAGAATAAGGGAAGGGGGTTGAAAGGAGTAAAACATTTTAAAAATAAGTATTATTAATTTTGAAATTAAATAATTATTTGGATTAGGAATGGCAAAGGTAAAATAAATTGCATGTTTAAAACTGTGAAACCCCTATGAAATTTACATATATATACTGATTGACTTCACCTACACACCTCTATCGTTGCTATCTTTAACAAATCTTGATCATGTGATCTCCCTTACTATATTTAGAGCATTTGTCAATCAATTTACGTTTCAAGTCAATAATGTTTATTCAATTTACAACAACAACCCCCCCCCCAAAAAAAATAGAATATGCGTATCAATTCATATTCATAATCTGAGGACTTGATTTCGATTGATAACAAAATTTCAGTCATAAATGCCGGCGTGTAGAAGGCATTAAATTGTTTTTCTTCAGTGTTTGTGATGTAATGCACCAGTCTTTAACAAAAGTTTTATTACATTCTGATTATTAAAATTCACTAGAAAATCTGGACAGTTTGTTTAACTGAGTAACCATGTATATAACATTAGAAAGCTCATAACCATGTATTACAGATTGATTCCTTTATGAAGCCTACTGCGGGAATTATTGTTTCGCTCGCTCAGAGTTGTCCGACCAGAAGTTCTTGTGACCAGTAATTCAAATACATGGATGATGCTGTTATAGCCATGTTTCTGTTTGAATTTAATGATTTGATCTCCATTCATGATTCCACGCACATAAAATAACAAAACTTGCTACACAGTGTGTGTGTGCTTGTATATAAATCATCTTTTGTGTATTCCTGTGTACATAAATCATCTTTTATGTATTCCTGTGTACATAAATCATCTTTTATGTATTCCTGTGTATGTAAATTGTATACCAGTGTACAACTAGTCATATGAATTAAGCTCTGTAACCATTTTAAAGCAGTACTTTTGTATTCAATTTCTGATTCGACTTAAAAGCAGTTGTAACAAAACATATAGTACAGACTTAAAAAGTCATTCTTGTTGGTTAGACTTTACGAGTAATAGACATCTCCTGGTACAAAGTACCACTGTAGTGACACATCGGCACCACCTCAGTCGACTAACCTTCTCTCTGTAGGAGTTCAGTCCCTTCCTCTTATAAATCCCGGCTACACCAGTATTTTGTAGCCGACATTGGACAGTATTATTAATCCAGTATTTATGTATACCATGTACTTCACTATTTTACTTTTATCGGATGTATTAATCCCATCGTTTGTTGCTCCTATCCAAGCATAATTAATATAAGATGCATCTTATATGTAATGTATGTGTATATATAGTACGCCATGCTCTGTGATAACTTCAGCATACATGTAGGTTTCAAATGCCCCACCCCCTCCCTTAACATAGGAGACTTTTATCTTGATATTTTCTCCACAAAGAAGGTACCACCAGGTAGGGGTCGAGACAAAATCTCCTCTTTTTGGAGAATTTCATCCTTTTCCCCGTTCAAAGAAATTCTTTCTCATCTCCCCTTTTGAAGTACTTTCCTCTGTGTATATAATATATTATATAATACATACATTATTTCCATTTGTACTTATATGAAATTCATACACTATCAAAAGTTTGTTAGCTGCATCTAAAATAGGTGGGCTGTAAATGCAATTTTGACAATGCATATTATGCAGATTATGGAAATAGGTTGTAAGACTTTGAGTCTGTATCGATCTCGAATATGTATGTTTGACAGATCTAGAGTATACATGTATATGTTTTATTGTGAGAGGGATTTTGAAAATAAGTGTTAAACAGACCATTACCTTGAATGATTGACAAATCACGAATATG